TTGTCCATGTTAACATACACACACCAAGTTGTTTCTTCATGTATAATTCAGTGACACTGATTAAATTCTTTGCATTGTGGCCCCATTCTCACCTCCCTTTCTGAGTTCTTCCCTATGAATATAAGTTTACTGTGGGATAAAGACAAGGCTTTCTACTCTCATAAAGAGGTTTTTTGTTTTTTTTTTAAAGAAAGGATTCATAGAAAAACCCCTATAATTTGGAATTGGCTCAGTGGTGGCGAGGGTTGCTGCTTTGTTGTTTTTTTCACTGCCTCCTCAAGTTCCTGTCTGCTCTTTAAAGTGCTGTTGTCGACTTGGTCCCACACAGGTAGAGCTTACAAAGAGCATAATGCTTGAGGTGACATTCTTTGCTAGTTCACCTAAGTTTGGTTTGAATAAGACTTCAGGAAATATTTTCGGTTTAAGGTTTAAAGATTATTTGATGACCTATGCTATCATTGAGTAGCCTCTAAGTCTCCAGAAATTCGGAATTCCAGAAAAAACTTGAAAGTGTCTTCTGCGTTTCCCCCCTTTTGATCAGGGTCCTTTCCTGGAATCTCTGATCAAAACGTGCAGTCACGGGAGCCGTGTCCCTGGAGCCTCCTAGCAGGAGGCAGTTCCCCGCGGAAGCTTTTGACCTCACGTCCGCACCCAGCTCCTGTCCCTCCTGTGCTTTCACTTCAAGCAGGTAGAGACCAGTTATTGTGCTGTGGATGGCTGCGTGCAGGCTTCTAAGACCCTAGGAACAATACAGTGACCTAGAACGTAGAACAGAAACACTAAACAGGCCAGTTAGCGAGGATGTCCCATGACCCCACGATCCTAAACTTCTACACTATGAATCAAAACTTATGGGGTATTTGATTTTTATATAAGCTTCCTTTGCACTTCCCCCCACTCCCCATCATTGTTGTAAAGACATCCTACAATTTTGACAACTCAGCTTTTACAGTGTACAACTTATTGACAGCAGTTACATTAATTGACTGTTATAGCCCTACCCTTAGTGTGATATTTATATCACCATAAACCAAACTTTAGTATACCATGAGCAATCACAACTTCCTTGATCCCCCTCCCTCTTGCCCAAGTTACCGCTAATAAGCTATTATCTTTTTTATATAAACGAGGTCATTTAAATAAACAGATTTCAAGCTGTTCTTTTGTGATTGACTTATTTCATTCAGCACAATGTTTTCAAGCTCTTGTCTATATTGTGGCATGTATCAAAACTTCATTTCTCCTGCTGACTAATGTTTCATTGTACGTACTTGTCTGCTTGGCCCATGTGCCCATTGATGGGCATGTCGGTTGTTTCTACCTTTTGGCTGTTGTGAATAGTGCTGCAGGGAACGTTGGCATAGAAGTCTCTGTTTGGGTCTTGGCTTTCAAGTCTTTGGGGTATATATCTAGGAGTAGAATTTCTGTGTCGTGGTTGTTAATGTTTCTTCCTTTCTGAGAAACTTAACTGTTCCCCACAAGGCTGTACCAGTGTGCATCCCCATCAACAATGGATAAGAGTTCCAGTTTCTCCAAAGTCTCACGCACACTTTTTGATCTTTGGTTTTGTTGCTGTTGTTACTGTTTTTATCTTAGCCATCCTAGTAGGAGTAAAGACGTCAAAGGGGTCCTTCTTGTGGTGCTGCTACAAGCCTTATGTACTAGTGTTTCAACGGGCTGTACAGCATCTGGTGAATTACAAAGCAGTTTGTAGTACTTGACAGGATGCGCTGCATCCAGCATAGTGTTTCTGAAGCCAGAATAATGGAAGTAAGCACCTCATTGTGAGTAAAGCAAACTGTTGGTAAGCCACCTGCCTGTTGACCTTCTCACCTCATCTAAGCTACCTCTGATCTCATAAAAAACAACCACATGTGCTGTCATTGAGTAGATTTCTGACTCAGAGTGACCCTAAAGAACAGAGTAGACTTGTCCCCATGGATTTCTGAGGCGGTCAACCTTTCCAGTAGGAGAAATCCTCATTTTCATCCCACAGAGCAGCTGGTGGGTTTGAGCCCCCAACCTTGGGGTTAGCAGTTCAGCATGGAACTCGTGTCACCACCAGCGCGTTCCTTCCTCTGGTCACAAGGGGGAGTCAATGGACAAGGTGATCAGGTGCAGAGCAGCCAGGACACCACCACTGAAAGAAAACACAAAATGTAATGTTGTGTGGGAAGTTTGTAACACAGATGTAAAATAAGGTCCATTCATGAAACAACAGTAAAACGCAAAAGTATTTCCTGGTGGGGGGTAAGACTTGTTTTCTGAAAATTATGGGGATAGCCCAGGTGAGTAGAATACAGAGCATTTTGAAAAATGATACTTTATTGTTTCACTGCACTTGATTGACAGCTGCCTCGCTATCAGATCAAAATGGATCAAAACATGTCTGCAGAGCCTGGTAGGGCAGCATTCAAATAAATTCCCAGTGCCACCTTACGTGGGTCATAGATCGTTTTTAAGATTCTTAAAAGAATGCGTACTGGTTGGGTACATCTGAACAAGTTGTGCTCTCTTCTGCCTCCTCTCACTTTGAACATAGGCGCATCAGAGTGGTTTATTACAGACGCTCCTTGAGGAAAAGTCGCACGCATCTGCATATGACTATGACCTCATTGTCATCGGCGGGGGCTCTGGTGGCCTTTCATGTGCTAAGGTATGAGGACAAAAACGAAACGTGTAGATAAATGTTCACAGCATTGCATGCCTTCTGCTCCTTTAAGAAAAAACAAACACCCCAAACCCTATTATCTTGCATTCTACGTTTTATTATAATAACCGGCTTAAGAAAGGGAAAAGAAAATTAAAAAAAACACGAAGAAAGGGAAAGAGTGCCCTGTCACGCAGACATAGTGTCTTCATGCGGGGGAAGATGGGGAGCGTGTCAGGAGAACGACACCTTCTTTGTATGTCGTCTTTTTTACAGGAAGCTGCCATCTGGGGGAAGAAGGTCATGGTGCTAGACTTTGTGGTCCCGTCGCCTCATGGCACATTTTGGGGTGAGCTCTTTTTCTTTGTTGGTGTCAACATTGCTTGTCTTAGTTATCCTGTATTGTTATAACAAAATACCAGGTGAGTGGCCTTAACAAGCAGAAATTTATTTTCCCACAGTGTCCGTGGCTAGAAGCCCAATGTAGGGTGTCAGCTCCAGGGGCAGCATCTCGGCTCTTGTGGCGTCTGGGTGTGGTTCCCTAGGACGTGGTCCAGCCTGCCCTGGGTCTAGGAGCTCTCCCTTGCAGGGCCCGAGCGCTGCTCCTGCCTCTTCTCTCTTGCTCATGAGACCCTTCTTCTCCCCAGTTGTTTCTCCCTAAAAGATGTGCCCCAAGCAAGGCTATGGCTCAAAATAGCGTGTGCTATCAGGGTGTGACTGAGTCGAATGTGATTTGAGTCCTACCGCCTTCTGAGGTGGTAAAATAAAGCACACCCCACCCCACACTGGCCCTGCCTCCACAAAACCGAGGGTGACCCTGCAACCTCAGGGATCGTGACCTAACCCGTTTGACACGCATCTTAGGGCACACGTGATACTGCTCATAACATAGGTCTGTATTTATAGTTTCTAACCCTCCTGAGTGTCCACATGGTTAAGGGACTGGCCTAAGGTTGCAAAGTTAACAGGTGGTGAAATCGGAAAGAGAATTTTTCAAAAAGGAAAATTTCTACAGTCTCTAGTATTTTAACAGTCTGCTGTGTGTGCCTGCTCATATTTTCCTGTCACGATAATCACATTATTTATTGTATCCTGCGAAGTTTGCTGTAGACATTTTTCTGGATATGTGCTTCAGTTTCAACGATTATAATGGTTATATGATGGTCTGTTGAGTTAGTGTATGTGCAGTCTTGCAGCTAATCTAACGAAGCAAGTGACGTGGTCTCAGCCCCATGACACTACTGTGCAGTGTAGTTGAGGTTACCGACCTTCCCAGGGTTTTTCAATAGGACGCATAGAGGTCATGCTGCCTGTCTTCTCTGTGTGCCGTCTTTGTGCTTTAGAAAGCTGACCAGCGGGCCACATGATCCTCGGTCTTTGGGTTGGTTTTGACCACTTTCGGGAACTGGGAGGAGAACAGCGGGAGGAAGGAAAGTGAAATGGAAATCTTTATTTCTCTGGTTCCGCCCTTCTGGTTGGCTATGGGGGCTGCATCTTAACTGTGGAGACCACTGCCCTGTCCAGCCCATCTCCCTCTGGGTGGGCTCTCTCTCAGGCTTCCTTCTCCTTCCGCACAGCAATGGGTGCCCGGTGCCCTCTTCCGGGGCTCTGCTTGCCCACACCCTGGCAAGTCCTTTCTTTATGCTGCCATTACCTGCTAGAACCCTGTTTGGTAAAATATGTTTTTTTAAAGTTTAACTTTACACAGAAAAAGTTTAGCTGACAATTTCATACAGCAAAGCTAATTTACCTTGATTTTTTTTCTTATAAAATTCTACTGGGTCTGTGTACACTGGCCTTTAGTTTTTCCCTCCTTGCCTCTTTTATTCTTCTTTCTCCTCTTTTTCCACTCTCACTTCTTCCCGTCCCATTCCTACCCACAAATAGCCTACTCTCTGGCAGCCAGAGAGACTCCTGCCATTGCCAAAATCTTTTGACTAATGGGGGACTGATATATTGTTCAAGATTCAAAGTAAATGTCATTATGCAGCCTGAAGTGGAAGAGATTCTAATTTAGAGAAGGCATAAAGCCATCTAAAGTAAAAAAGTTGGAGCTGAGGGTCTTACACTTGGTGCTGTATGTATCTAATTAATCAAGTTCTGATTCCTAAGACTAAATGAGTTTTGGGACGCTGTTCTGATACACCTCCGTTATGTTGGGGTCTGGTGTTAGCTCCACCACTATCTGTGATTGTCAATTCTACATGTTTTAATAGCATCTACCATGTAGATCTGTAAAACCACACTGAGATGTAGCCAATTAATATGACCCTTCTAGCCATAACCTCTTAGGTGATGTATTCTAAATTTTAGCCTCCGTGCCTGTGGTTATAATCCCATTTGGAAGGAGTTCTCTGTTTTGCTCATGGATAGGTCACCACCCTTTGTTTCTTTGGGGGTATGGTCTGCTGAAAGACAAAAACCACACCTCCATCAAAGCCATCTCTTTGTGTGTAAGAGTCAGCTCAGACACACAGGACCATTGGGAGAAGCACCACGAAGTTAGGAACCACTATTGGAAGAAGAACCACTAGTGGATGGCTCTCTGTCTGAAGTGGTGGAGGCCACGCCCAGAGACACCAGAGGCTGTGGCACGGGGACCATGGGACAGAACAGAGGAGCAGTGCTGAGACTAATGGACTATGAGGCCAAGCAGCAGACCAGCGTTCTGGCCCGCAGACAGAAACCAAGGGACCATGTGGCTGAGAAGCTGAGGACCAGTGACTTGGCTGCTGGTTGAAAAGAGGCGTGGCTGTGGACCAATGATTGTATCTATATTATTTACTGCTCCTGACTTGTGCTAAACTGTCAGCTTCCCCAGTGAATCCCCGTAACCGTGAGTGTTTTGC